TAAGTTGAAGCGAAGCTGCAACTTATCACAACTTATAGGTCTACTACGAACAAGATTGAATATGAAATTGGTCGCAGACAACTCATCAGCAAGTAATTCAAGCAACCTTTCTAATCGAGACAGGCTTACATATATGACTATAAAATAAAACTACAAAGATAGGGAAAAACTTTTTTCGTTTTTTTCACACAACTCTATCGATTTTCTGTCTTCCATGAAAAGATATTTTTTCAGATAACCTCTTCGAATTAATATATTTATTAAACGTCATTAAACGGTCGTTAATCATTAATGCCTCCCAAACGCAGCGCTTCAGTCGGCAGGCTTTCCCGTCTTCCACCCAACTCCATCCGTGCCATCCCCATCACAAAACGTCAACCTTCACCCGCCACTCGGAGCTCCCGGGCGCAACCCCCAACAATCGTCGAAACCGTTTGTCCCGACTTCGGCGATTCTATTGTCCTTTCAAAGCGCCAATTCAAATCATTTTCTCGTATTGTCATTCCGGCCAATCTCAAAACTTTAATTATCACGAATAACCAAATATCCGATTTCGTTGGATTCAATCCATCCGACAATCTTGAGACTCTCGACATATCTCACAATCCGATTTCCTCCCTCCGCGGCTTCCCAACACACTGTGGAATCAAATCGATATTATTAAATGGCTGTCCTCTCGCTAAGAACCAATTTTATCGCATCGCGCTCATTCTCGTCATCGGTAAATCGCTCCGCACCATCGATGGAGACAGAGTTACGGCCGCCGAGCGCCGCGTGGCCAATTCATATCTTCCAGATTGCGCCCAGCTCCTTCGCTCCGGATGGCAGATCACCTACCCCGGCCCAACAAAGACAGAGATTCCGAAAATAAAAGCGAGTATGGCCGAGACCCTGAGGAGCGAGGCCGCATCTGCCCCGTTCGGCGCAGCCTTGACGTTTTCCTCGGCAGCGTCGGTGGCAGGGGGGTACCACGGCTGCCCCAAGACGTCCCCGATGATCATGAAGAGGAGGGTCAAGCCGCAATCCCAGATTTACGAGGAATCACTCAAAATCCAAGAAAAAGAAATTGATGAGCTCACAAAAGAAATTAAGAAGCTTGAAGAAACTACTCAGAAATATCAATAAGATAAAACGAAATCTTTTTTAAACAATAATCGAATATAAAATAAAATTTTGATTTTTTTTTTTCCTTTTGAATATAAATATTGCATCATGACTAAAAGATAAAGGAGGAATTTGCATTCTCTTTTTTAGTGGATGTTTTGTTAATCACATTAGATTTGGTTGGAATGAAGATCTATATGTGAAAATTACTTGAAATTTTAATCATTTATTTCATCATTAATTTAAATTCAATCGTGAAAAATGATATCAAATCATTATTTCAAAAAAAAAAAAAATGATGATAAGAGGTAATGATGGAGAATTTTAAAAACCATGTTTACTTGAATTCTAATCAAATCATTTTCAAACTTGGTATATATGCAAAAGCATCATATGAAGATAATAAAGATTATATAATATTATCTAATCAGAGATTTAAATGATTCGGACGGTTTTAGAATGAAATTATTTGAACACTTAATTGGTCATATGATTTGAAAGAAGCATATTTAATTCAATCAGTACTTAATTGGTCGAATGTTGAAAGGATGTTCAAAAAACAATTTTTTTTATAGTTGTCATGAGGAAAAAGAAACAATTTAAAGGATTTACAATTGATGATTGCATTAAACGCATTGAATACCATGGAATATGGGATCCTTTACCATGTCGGGAATCAGAAATCGCTTTCATCAATAATTTTTTTGATTCATGTTTTTCATCACAAATTCCAAAAATATTAATTTTAACTGGAAGAAGAAACACAGGTAAAACTGCTTCGCTTCATTTTTGTAAAATGATGAGCAAAGATGACGATAACATTTTTTTTATCGACGTCGATAACATCAATTTTTATCAAAGGTCAAAATTCACACCACATTAATTATTTCAATCATAATAACATCACTAATATTCATAATAATAATAGTAATAATACAAATAATTACAGCTCCTCTCAATACAATCTTTCTGCTTGTCAAGAACATTATTTTGATGAAGAAAGTAATTTTAATTTCAAAACAGATTTTCATCAAAACATTTATTTTCCATCTCAAAATATGAACAATATTACAAGTAATAATGACAATCATGATATTAATAATGATATTCATAGTCATAATGATAATAGTTTTGATTATGATTGTTTTCTTGAATTCTTTCAAAATAATTCCACTATGAAAATTGTCATTCTCGAAAATTTTAATCCTTCATTAAATATCAATCTAATTGATTTTTTTATTTCACATAACTGTTCAATTGTGATTGTCATGCATGAAATTTATGGCCTTATTCAAAAATTGTCCAAAAACATTATAATATCATGTATAAATTTCTCAAGTTATTCTCGAAATCAACTGATTGATATATTGATTGAAAAGATGGGCGGCGCATCTTCTCTTGTTAGTAATACTGTATTATCATATGTTGCACAGAGGACAGTTTCTTGTGGTGGATCAGTTCCAGAAGCAATTGAATTGCTTATTGTGATATGTAGAAATGCAATTTTAAATGGAAGAAAAAGGGTGAATGATGTAAACTTAAATGCACATGAAAAAGAAGAAAGAATTTTACGAAATTGTTAAAAGATATAAACTATGAGTATTATTTAGTTGATTCTGTTAAACATATTCTGATTTATAATAATATTTTCAATCAATCTATAATTTGAAATCTTTTAATGATATCATTACATATTACAAAAGTTTTCAATGAACAGCGGGACTTTAGCTCACCTGGGAGAGCGTACGACTGAAGATCGTATAATAAAAATTCAAGTCCGCGAAGTCCCAACTTTTTCTTTTTTTCTTTTCAAATGGATTCAAGCGATTATTTCGACTATTCTAGTGACCCAGACGATGAATATATACTCGACGTTCGGCTACGTAAGGTCAAGCATGCATATCGGATGGCCATGGCCGAACTTAAACTTACTTATTTTCTCGAAAAAGACAGCAAATACTTACTTTCTACGACAGAGGACATCATCAATTGGTCCTACGA